CCCCAAAACCCCAAAACCCCAAAACCCCAAAACCCCAAATCCAAATACAAATTTTGATATATAATTTATAAAAATTATCCAAAATGTCTTACTACTACCCTTGCATCTTGGTAGATGACTCCCAGAGCAGTGGAGTCAAGCCTATTATATTTAAAGATGTCGAGGAAAATCTATGCACTAGCAGCAGCTGAAAAGGTAGTCTTGGCTCAATGCAAAACTGCACTAATTTTTACATATTGGGATAGAAAGCACCATCAATTTTAAAGGATCTCTAAAGCTTTAAAAAATTTAGAATGGAGATTATAAATATTAGAGTATTAAACTTTGGTCTTCACTGAATTCTAGCCAACCATTTCTTATAGAGTCTTCAAAGAACTTCCTTGGGAAGAAATATGAGAACATTCAGCTTAGGGATGATTCAATGCCTGATAAAAATCTGCCAAAAGGGTCCTTGTGGGTGACTACCCATAGGTTCATCTTCCAGGTAGATAATACAACCACAGCTGATTATCTCTATGAGTTTCCATTAGAGATCTTTGTTAAAGAGTCATATGTTGGAGGAATGTTCCAATCAGGCTACAGAGTAAAAATTAAAAGAAATGATTCTACTAATCCCGATATTTATGATTCTAATGCTCTCGAAGGAATGATCCAGACCATCTCTCAGCAAAAGGCTGAGGAATTCAAGATAGATCCCAGCCAGGTCGCAGACCAATACAGAAATGTAATGGCTGCAAGAAAATTCCCAAGCAAGATCACCTTCTTATGCCCGTCAAAAGCTGTTCGGAATGATTTGAAGAAGGATATTGACTATGCTGTTTCTAAAGAAATGTGGACAAAAGTTAAATTCAACATTGAGCAGCACATCAGGAAAAATGATATAGGAATTGGTAATATCATGGGCCGTCAGAGAGAGAAAGATTCAGTAATGTCAAGGTGAGTTTTGCTATTTATCCAAAATAACATGTAACTTAGTAAAATTGCAATGACTTCCAGTGATATTAACCAGCTCTCAGGAGCTGCTCAGGACCTCATAACCATTGCAGATGAGATCAAGAAGAAATTATCCAGATATAAGGATTCCTTCTCAGATTATAAAGAGAATACTGATATTATGGACATGATTTTTAATCTCGGAATGAACAATGATGACGATGATCTCTTTATCCAAAAGAGTAGCTCTAGTTTATCCAAGAAGGACTTTAAGAATAAAATCTGTCAGGATCTGGTCGCATTTTTGGACAACAACATAAACTCTTACGGAGGATGGATCCCATGTGCTGAACTCTACTGCAAGTTTAACAGAATGCTCGGCATGGACCTAATCTCCCCTGAAAATTTCATTAAAGCATGCATTGGAATTGAAAAAGTAGAAAGTGATGATGGTTCATATTATATATACTGCAAGGATTTTAAAGCGAAAAATGGTAAAATAGTAGCCATGATCACTCATCCTGATTTCTCTATCAATAAGAAGGCAAAGGAATTGGAAAAATTCACTAAGAAAGGAGATGGAAAGACAGTGAATGATATCATTAAGGCGCTAGATCTGAGCTATATAATAGTGGATCAAGTTATAGAGAGAGCACTTGAAGACGGAAGAATAGCAGTAGATGAACAAGATCCAGCAGGAAAGAGATACTACTACAACAAGATTGGAGGAGGTAAAAGCTCACGTAGAGGCTCTGAGGATGGCACTGATGGATATAACATTGAAGATATAACGATCTAGAACAAGTTTGGTTCAATAATTGCAAGTAATAAAGGGGTTTTGGGGTTTTGGGGTTTTGGGGTTTTGGGG